AAGTGAACCGAAAGTGTTTCTGGTCCACTTCCAGGTCCACCATCAAGCACACTGGGGGGACCACCCCCCCACGCTCCTGTGGGATGCTCCATCTGTCCCAGCATTGCAGGATTCACAAGCTACCTTGAGGTATGTAGAAAAAACATTTCAAGCTGTGTCTGTGTCCAAATCATCGAATCTCTCCTAATCGATTTGGAGGGTTCCAATTCAATTCGGAGAGATTAAAGGGTCTCCTGATTTGATTTGGATTTGGAGATTTGGACACTGAATAGGACCAAATCTCTGCCAAATCGAATCAATGACTGAAGCCTTGCACAGCCCTAGTAAACAGTTCTCTGGAAAAGAAAGGAAGTCCAAAGTAAAAGCTAGTGTGACGTAAAACAAACAAACAAACAAACAAAAGCTCTTTATATGAAAGATATTTCTTTTTAAAATACCATCCGTTAGGTTAATATTCCCAATGAAAAATTTAAAAGTATGTCATAGTCAACATAAAATTATTTCTAATAATTTAAATTATAATTAATTACACAGAGCACTCTACTATTTATTGTATTATTATTAAAGAAACACTCCTTATATCTAAAAGGCTGGAAGAATTCCCACCAGCAACACAGATAAAAAAAAATAGGGTTTTGTATCATAAATAATTATGCCTACTCTGCATAGTGCCTTGTGATCGAATTCTCAAGAGGGTAAGTAACTGTCACGATACGGCCACCCCTGGGATAGCCATGATGTCCCTAGGGCACCATGACAATGCTGGCCCCACCCTATGGGCACCTACTAATCTCGTCTGCCGCATCTTGCTGTTATAAATGATGGATTGGGAGGCTGCCCTCAAGTTGCTGCTAAGTCACCGTCCTGACAGTCTCCTCTGAACCCTGTCAGTTGCTGGACCCCTTTATTGGGCCCCACACTCGGGAGGTGTCTTACAATACCCCGCTAGCCTTATGGGCTAGATGCGTGACTCCAAAACTGTCCCTTTATCATGCCCCATGCTTCACAGATGTTATATAGATGTTGTCTCCTTGTGTTGAGGCCTCAGTTTAGTCCGGCCTCAGTAACTGCACCCTGTCTGGCACTGGGGTCTGCTCTCCCCTTTGTCACCGTGCCCTCTCTGGCGCTGCAGTCTGCGCACCCCCTGTCAGCGCGCCCTCTCTGGTGCTGCGGGCTGCGCACCCCCTGTCAGCGCGCCCTCTCTGGTGCTGCGGGCTGCGCACCCCCTGTCAGCGCGCCCTCTCTGGTGCTGCGGGCTGCGCACCCCCTGTCAGCGCGCCCTCTCTGGTGCTGCGGGCTGCGCACCCCCTGTCAGCGCGCCCTCTCTGGTGCTGCGGGCTGCGCACCCCCTGTCAGCGCGCCCTCTCTGGTGCTGCGGGCTGCGCACCCCCTGTCAGCGCGCCCTCTCTGGTGCTGCGGGCTGCGCACCCCCTGTCAGCGCGCCCTCTCTGGTGCTGCGGGCTGCGCACCCCCTGTCAGCGCGCCCTCTCTGGTGCTGCGGGCTGCGCACCCCCTGTCAGCGCGCCCTCTCTGGTGCTGCGGGCTGCGCACCCCCTGTCAGCGCGCCCTCTCTGGTGCTGCGGGCTGCGCACCCCCTGTCAGCGCGCCCTCTCTGGTGCTGCGGGCTGCGCACCCCCTGTCAGCGCGCCCTCTCTGGTGCTGCGGGCTGCGCACCCCCTGTCAGCGCGCCCTCTCTGGTGCTGCGGGCTGCGCACCCCCTGTCAGCGCGCCCTCTCTGGTGCTGCGGGCTGCGCACCCCCTGTCAGCGCGCCCTCTCTGGTGCTGCGGGCTGCGCACCCCCTGTCAGCGCGCCCTCTCTGGTGCTGCGGGCTGCGCACCCCCTGTCAGCGCGCCCTCTCTGGTGCTGCGGGCTGCGCACCCCCTGTCAGCGCGCCCTCTCTGGTGCTGCGGGCTGCGCACCCCCTGTCAGCGCGCCCTCTCTGGTGCTGCGGGCTGCGCACCCCCTGTCAGCGCGCCCTCTCTGGTGCTGCGGGCTGCGCACCCCCTGTCAGCGCGCCCTCTCTGGTGCTGCGGGCTGCGCACCCCCTGTCAGCGCGCCCTCTCTGGTGCTGCGGGCTGCGCACCCCCTGTCAGCGCGCCCTCTCTGGTGCTGCGGGCTGCGCACCCCCTGTCAGCGCGCCCTCTCTGGTGCTGCGGGCTGCGCACCCCCTGTCAGCGCGCCCTCTCTGGTGCTGCGGGCTGCGCACCCCCTGTCAGCGCGCCCTCTCTGGTGCTGCGGGCTGCGCACCCCCTGTCAGCGCGCCCTCTCTGGTGCTGCGGGCTGCGCACCCCCTGTCAGCGCGCCCTCTCTGGTGCTGCGGGCTGCGCACCCCCTGTCAGCGCGCCCTCTCTGGTGCTGCGGGCTGCGCACCCCCTGTCAGCGCGCCCTCTCTGGTGCTGCGGGCTGCGCACCCCCTGTCAGCGCGCCCTCTCTGGTGCTGCGGGCTGCGCACCCCCTGTCAGCGCGCCCTCTCTGGTGCTGCGGGCTGCGCACCCCCTGTCAGCGCGCCCTCTCTGGTGCTGCGGGCTGCGCACCCCCTGTCAGCGCGCCCTCTCTGGTGCTGCGGGCTGCGCACCCCCTGTCAGCGCGCCCTCTCTGGTGCTGCGGGCTGCGCACCCCCTGTCAGCGCGCCCTCTCTGGTGCTGCGGGCTGCGCACCCCCTGTCAGCGCGCCCTCTCTGGTGCTGCGGGCTGCGCACCCCCTGTCAGCGCGCCCTCTCTGGTGCTGCGGGCTGCGCACCCCCTGTCAGCGCGCCCTCTCTGGTGCTGCGGGCTGCGCACCCCCTGTCAGCGCGCCCTCTCTGGTGCTGCGGGCTGCGCACCCCCTGTCAGCGCGCCCTCTCTGGTGCTGCGGGCTGCGCACCCCCTGTCAGCGCGCCCTCTCTGGTGCTGCGGGCTGCGCACCCCCTGTCAGCGCGCCCTCTCTGGTGCTGCGGGCTGCGCACCCCCTGTCAGCGCGCCCTCTCTGGTGCTGCGGGCTGCGCACCCCCTGTCAGCGCGCCCTCTCTGGTGCTGCGGGCTGCGCACCCCCTGTCAGCGCGCCCTCTCTGGTGCTGCGGGCTGCGCACCCCCTGTCAGCGCGCCCTCTCTGGTGCTGCGGGCTGCGCACCCCCTGTCAGCGCGCCCTCTCTGGTGCTGCGGGCTGCGCACCCCCTGTCAGCGCGCCCTCTCTGGTGCTGCGGGCTGCGCACCCCCTGTCAGCGCGCCCTCTCTGGTGCTGCGGGCTGCGCACCCCCTGTCAGCGCGCCCTCTCTGGTGCTGCGGGCTGCGCACCCCCTGTCAGCGCGCCCTCTCTGGTGCTGCGGGCTGCGCACCCCCTGTCAGCGCGCCCTCTCTGGTGCTGCGGGCTGCGCACCCCCTGTCAGCGCGCCCTCTCTGGTGCTGCGGGCTGCGCACCCCCTGTCAGCGCGCCCTCTCTGGTGCTGCGGGCTGCGCACCCCCTGTCAGCGCGCCCTCTCTGGTGCTGCGGGCTGCGCACCCCCTGTCAGCGCGCCCTCTCTGGTGCTGCGGGCTGCGCACCCCCTGTCAGCGCGCCCTCTCTGGTGCTGCGGGCTGCGCACCCCCTGTCAGCGCGCCCTCTCTGGTGCTGCGGGCTGCGCACCCCCTGTCAGCGCGCCCTCTCTGGTGCTGCGGGCTGCGCACCCCCTGTCAGCGCGCCCTCTCTGGTGCTGCGGGCTGCGCACCCCCTGTCAGCGCGCCCTCTCTGGTGCTGCGGGCTGCGCACCCCCTGTCAGCGCGCCCTCTCTGGTGCTGCGGGCTGCGCACCCCCTGTCAGCGCGCCCTCTCTGGTGCTGCGGGCTGCGCACCCCCTGTCAGCGCGCCCTCTCTGGTGCTGCGGGCTGCGCACCCCCTGTCAGCGCGCCCTCTCTGGTGCTGCGGGCTGCGCACCCCCTGTCAGCGCGCCCTCTCTGGTGCTGCGGGCTGCGCACCCCCTGTCAGCGCGCCCTCTCTGGTGCTGCGGGCTGCGCACCCCCTGTCAGCGCGCCCTCTCTGGTGCTGCGGGCTGCGCACCCCCTGTCAGCGCGCCCTCTCTGGTGCTGCGGGCTGCGCACCCCCTGTCAGCGCGCCCTCTCTGGTGCTGCGGGCTGCGCACCCCCTGTCAGCGCGCCCTCTCTGGTGCTGCGGGCTGCGCACCCCCTGTCAGCGCGCCCTCTCTGGTGCTGCGGGCTGCGCACCCCCTGTCAGCGCGCCCTCTCTGGTGCTGCGGGCTGCGCACCCCCTGTCAGCGCGCCCTCTCTGGTGCTGCGGGCTGCGCACCCCCTGTCAGCGCGCCCTCTCTGGTGCTGCGGGCTGCGCACCCCCTGTCAGCGCGCCCTCTCTGGTGCTGCGGGCTGCGCACCCCCTGTCAGCGCGCCCTCTCTGGTGCTGCGGGCTGCGCACCCCCTGTCAGCGCGCCCTCTCTGGTGCTGCGGGCTGCGCACCCCCTGTCAGCGCGCCCTCTCTGGTGCTGCGGGCTGCGCACCCCCTGTCAGCGCGCCCTCTCTGGTGCTGCGGTCTGCGCAACCCCTGTCCCCGCACCCTCTCTGGCACTGGGGTCTGTTCACCCCCTATCACTGTGCCCGCACTGGTGCTGGGGTCCCCACACAATAGTGGGCTTCCAATGAGGCCTCCTCCTTCCCCAATAGCCTCAGCCCGATCCACTGGTTTACAAACAGAAATCAAAATATGAGCCCCTGGGCTATAACATAAATGCAAGCAGCTCAGGGTGTGCTCTGTCCCTTTAAAAGCATTAAACCTCCCCCAGCACTAAATGCCTTGCAGGTCAGGGTCCCTGGTGAGCTCCTGGAGACTCTTAATCCTACCAGAAGTAGAACAGGCAGTCAAGCATCTCTACTTTGATTCCTCTAAGAGAGCTCCTTTCCCCTTGGCTGCTGACAGAGAACTGACTCTCTAGTCCCAGCCCTGGGGTTTATATATGCCCAAATGTGGCAGGGCACTGTAGGGGCCTGCCACTTTAAGGTCCTGAGCCAAGCTGCCAGCAGGTCCCTGATTGTGGCAGCCATTTTAGACCCCTGGCTGCCTTCATAATCAGGTCAGTTTCCTACTGGCAGAAGAAGCAGCAACATCACCTGACTGCAAGGCCACTGGTATCATCCTGGAGGTAAGGGACGAGCGGTAGAGGATGGTTAGGAGGCTTCTGGTCCTGGGCATGACCTAAAACTGCACCCTGCAGTGGTCTGGTGGGGCTCTCAGTGGCGCAGGAGCCCCCAGGAAATGCCAGGCGTGATCACTCCAGTGAAAGGTGAGTAGGGGTGCCTTAACCCCAGCCCTGACCTTAGGGTGGGTTGAGAGAATAAGATCAGTGGCCAAGCACAATGACCTGCTGCTCCAGGGGGGGAGTGAGAGTCCCTGTGAGACCCTGGAGCACCAGTCATGGTGTGTGCAAAAGGTAACATCCAGGGAGGAGTAGAGGCCAGGTAAGCTTCTGGAAGTGCCTGAGCCAGTTGGGGAGAGACCCCGCAGGGCCACGCATGCTTCCAGGAGCACCTGAGCCAGGATTGGGGAACCCCACTCCAGAAAGTGCAGACAGGAGACAAAGACCCCGCTGAGGGACTTGACTGGTCAATGCTGGGGTCAGGACCTGAGGGTCAAAAGGACCACGGGCCCACCGTGAGGGACGCCCACAATGAGTGCAGAAGCTCAGGGTCCCGACTGGGCCTGAGATGGGGCCAGGGCTTACGGAAGCCAAAGGTCCCCACGGTTGGGGGCCACAGCTAATGGGCAAAGGTGAAGGTTCAGCTAACTGTCTGAGATGCCATCTGCAAAGCTTGGGTCACGGTGTAGGTGGTATGGAGCCGCAGATACCCCCTAATATCGGGGTGCAACAATGGGCAGCCTCCGGCCTTAGTTAACAATTTTTATTAATTACCAACAAGGCGTGGCAGATGAGACAGGTGGGCAGCATGCCCAGAGGCAGGTGTGGGGCTAGCTGCGGCTAGGGAGGGATGCCCACCTCGCCACATCAAGGCCCTGCCTCTTCCAGTCAGCTGACTGCCTGCAGGTGCAGGCTAATTTCCTCATTTCTACTGCCACAGTAACCTGCAGCTGTGGGGTTCCTGCCTGACTGCTAGGGCCCTCTCCCTAGGCAGTTTCTGCCCCTAAAAGAGCAGGCACCTTAGTGCCCTGCGACAGTAACATTATGTCTTTTTTCTACATAGGGAACCTGAGACTCAGAAGGGTGAAGGAGCTTATTGAAGGTCACCGAGAAGACCAGTGACATAGCCAAGAATAGCACCCAAGTCTCCTAAGTACCATTCCACTACCCCAATTAATGAGTCATATCATCACCTCCTAGACTGTAAGTACAAACTTTTCCCCTCATAATACCTGAACCTATGACAAAGAACTCACACAAAATATGAAGGGGAAAAGATCACATTCTTCATGACATTTTGAATATGGTGATTATCTCTGAGTCAATTTATAAATCCACATTAACAACATTCCATATCTTTCCTGGAGTCCATAAAAGTAATAAAATTTCATTCATGTTTTATTGAATGCTTATTCTAGAGTTGCACCTGGAAGGATGGATTTTTTTCCATCTTCACAGTATACACCATATGTTCCTCATCTGGTATAAACAGTCTGATGGGTCAGCCAGAGTCCAAATGCAGTATTTCTCAGGAATTCCTCAAGGAATTCCTCAAGGAAAATTTCCACAACCAAAATGAATCCACTTCCAAAAACAACTCATCCTCTGACAGCATTGAGGAAAAGATTAACCCCTCCCCCCCAAATCAGATTGGACACCTCAAGGTGGATGAAACTCTAAACTTGACCGCTATATTGAGAGTCCTTCAGGGAAAGAACAATGAACAATTTGAACAATCGAATGAACAGTGAAATAATCAACAACAACACACCACCATAACAACTTCCTATCAGAGAGAAAGGGCATAAAAATCTGTAAGATCTAACCACCAAATAGTAACAAAACCAGCAGATAAAAGAGTCTGTCATCCTTAACCACGAAGACTCCACAAAAGAAGACAACAAACAACTCTCTGACACCACCTACTACAAAGAACTACAGGAAGATCCTACTCCCCTTTTCACGTTGAAACTCAAAAATACCATCAAACCATTCCCATCAGAACTACAAGAAAAACTACAGACTTTGATCCCACTACTACCTGACCTAGGGACTTTTTATATGCTCCCTAAAATCCACATAAAAGGGAACCCTGGCAGACCTATCATATCCAACCATGGAACCCTGAGGAAATATCAGGTGTCATCAAATCAATCCTAAATCCGCTTGTCACCCAAAGAGCGAGTTTTGTCCAAGGCACTACAGATTTTCTGCAAAAACTTAAAAACTTGGACCACCTTCCCAGCAACACCCTCCTAGCCACCTTGGATGTGAGCAGCTTATATGCCAACATCCCACACCAGGATGGCATCCAAGCCTGCCTTACATACCCACAAGAGCAAGATGACAACTCAGAGTACAGACCCAAAGATATTACTGACAGTATACACTTCATCCTCACACACAACAATTTCACTTTTAATAATGAACACTTCCTCCAGACCACAGACACAGCTATGGGCACCAAAATGGCCCCACAGCATGCCAACCTTTTGCCACCTGGAAGGAGAATTCCAGTCTCTCACCCACTGACCCCTCAATTTCCATTTTCACTGACTGGCTTTCTTGCATGCATATCAGCCTCTAGCTTCTTTACTATTCATTCTATCCAGGAAGAGCACACGGCAGCTGCAGATGCTTCCTCAGCCTGATGAAGCGTTTTTAAACCTGAAAGCTTGCTATGAACATTTTTTCCAAATATTTAGTTGGTCTAATAAAAGATATCAGATTTATCCAAAGAACCTTGTCTGCCTATGTCCTTAGACCAACCTGGCTACAACTTCACCACTGTATTTCTCAGGTGTGTCACAGAAAAAGAAATTCCATTCTGATAAATGCATCTAACATTATTTCTTCAAAAATCACATCACAAATGTATTTCCCAACACCTGAGCAAAAGTACTTTTGAGTATTTTTACCTTGAAGTTTCATAGCTGGGTCCCCAAAAGATAAATTTTATACGAAATTGCCCAACACAGTGGTGGGGGAAGAACAATTAGTAACTATGAGGCCAACAATTAGGTTTGCCACAAAGTAGAGATTATCATCATTCTGATACCTCTTGTACCATCAGGTACATAAGACAGACATCAAATGGCATAGACCAACCCTATCTTGGGCTCATTTTTCTAGGTCTTGTGTAGTCAGATATAATGGTGTTGCTTCAGCAATTACTTTTCTCTAAAATGTTCCTCGAAGAGCATGTCTACACTGCCTCCATGCTGGAAAATACCACAGCAAATCAAGGCAGCCCCACTCCACACATGGGCTCAACCTGAAACACATGCTAGAGGCGCTGGTTGCATGCCAAAGAAGCTTTCTGTCTCAGGTGTGCATCTTGATATGCATACACTCCTGCTGGAATGCACCCATTTCTTGGGTAAGCATGTGGAGAGTGGGCATACCATGTTTCATAGTGGCATTCCATGACATGATCCAGAGGCAATACAGGAGACCCATGCCATTCACAGGGGATACATTCTGGAGAACCCCGCAAATGGCAAAATCTGTGAATACTGATGGGGCTCCCTATCAGACACCATAGCCGCTCCCTGCTCCCCCCTCCCAATTGTTTGCAGGGCTCCCCCACTGCACCTGGGACCAACCCCTTCCCCTCACTGTGCCGCACACACTTCCAACGCCACCACAGCTGCCTCCAGGGGAGATGTTGCTGCCACTGCCGCCTCCCTCCCCGTCCCCAGTGCTTGCTCTCCGCCTGCCTCCCAGCTCTGCCCTCCCCAGCCCTGCACAGCACCAGAGCCAGGAGCTTGGTGCAGCCCCCCAACCCACCCCAACTGCAGCTGTGCTATTGGCGCAGTGCACTGCAAATATTCGAATCTGCAAATCTGGAGTTCGCAAATAGCGAGGGTTTCCTGTATAGATAAACCTTAAGTCAGCTTTTCCAGATTTTACCCAGAAATGCTTGTTTAGGTAGAAATGACAGAAATGCTTGTTTAGGTAGCTTTTTACTAAGCATTCTTGAAAGATATCCAAATATGCCCATATTTTCTACTGTATTATTTGTCAAGTTGCAGGTAGTTGTACACATTCCATACATCAAATAAATAATGAAGGAGGGTATGGCTTAGTCAGTCATATGAATAATGCCATAAAGTACTAAATGAAATTTGGTAAATAATAAAGAAAAGGGCGATGTTGCTTCTATGAAATTCATATGCAACTTGAAAATTTTAAAACCAGTGATTTTCTACCAGGGTACCATGGCACCCTGGGATGCCTGGGGATCCCTTCAAGGGTGCCATGTGTGTAAACATGATTCAAAAGATAAATCCAGAGATTTAAAATATGAATCCATAGAATTATAAACATTCTGTACTGCTGTGGTCTCAGTTCTATGAAGAGAAAAATTACTCTATTTTTTTATAGTAAAAAAATTAGTGAAAACTAAGAGCTGGCATTTTCTCAGGTGTGTCTCAAGTCTAATGAGGGATATCTCATGTTTAACAAAGGGTAACCTGAGTCTAAACAGGCTGACAACCACTGCCTTAGACATCCTGGGTGCATCTACACAAGATGCTTTACTGCGCACTAAAGCAGTTCACTGTGCAGTAAGCATGCATGTCTACACGTGCACACGCTTACTGCACAATAAACCGTGTTACTTGTAAGTAAATTTGCTGCCTGCGAATGCAAGTAGCAAATTTACTCATGAGTAGTTACTGCACAGTATCGCATATGGAGACACCACCCAGCAGCAAATTTTCTTCTGGTCAGCCCTGCCAGGGCCCCAGGGCCTGGGGCAACTGCTGACCACTGACTATCCCTGCACAGGCCACAGGCCAGCTCTGTCAGCCTGCCTGCAAACCAGCACTGCTCCCTGGCACCATAGTGCCATGTAGCTGCCATGGCAGAACCATCCAGCCCTACAAGGTGCTCCAGACTTCTGCCATTCCTGCCAGCAGGGACCAACCTGAGCCACTGGGCATGCTAGCCCAACCCACAAAGTAAGCCCTGCACTGGGGGGCCCTCCCCACCCTGGCTGCTTCCCCACCTCCCAGCCACAGGTAGTCCTTCAGATGCCAGCAGATGTTGTGGGGCAGCATGGGCTTTCCCACCACACTGTCGAAACTCAGAGTCCCATGCCAAGTGTGCCCAGGGCACCATGGCCATCAGCAGCAGCAAGGAGCAGTGGATCCGGCGGCCCTCAGTCCACACAAACAGCTCCTTTCACTGTGCCCAGTTCACACATGACAAAGGTGCACTCAGGGCGCAGAGTGCCTGTGGGATGGGGGGGATTGGCCCTGGGGTGCCCTCCCGGGAGAGGCCCCTGCAGGGAGGGTGGGGTTTGGGGAGCTCCATGTCCCAGTCATCCAGGAGTCCCAGCCCCCTGAGTCCAGGGGCCATGGGCTTGGCAGCAGCACAGGAAACAGACTGGCCTGCAAGAGGACAAGAAGGGAGAGTGGGTCTAGTGCCGCCAGGAGCTGGGCTGGCCCAGCCTGGGAACAGGGTGGGGGAGGCAGGCTGTCTGCAGCCAGCACCCAGTGGACCAGCCCCTGGGGATCGAGCAGGGATGGGGGGCTCAGCTGGCAGCCACCTAGTCCCAGGCCTGCCCACCCAACTTACCATGGTCCGTGGGCACCCACGTGTGCACTACCCCCAATCTGAGGCTGCAGTGCATAGCCCCTGGTACAGAACATCTTATCTCAGAAATGTTGCAAACTCTTACAAACAGCTTCTTGCTCATGGCTCTGCAGGTTCTGGCAGCCAGGATGCACCATCAGGGACACCACTACCCTTGGTTGGGGTCCTGTGGGTGTACCTGCTCTGCAAGAGGAGGACCCAGGACCGGACCCTCCTCAGACTGGCTGGTGACAGCCTCAGAGGACCAACTGGCAGATGTGTGGGCTTGGCAAGTAAATGAAATAGCAGGGGACTTCACCTGTAAGAATTTGCGAGGAGGCTTGGGACCGGCATGAGGCAGTGTGAACTGGGTGGACCAGTAGTTTAGCATGCAGCTTCTCACCCTGGAGCATCAGGCTGTGCTTATGGCCAGGGCAGTGGAGGCCATGGAGGAGGACCACTGCGTGCTGGACACTATCCTAGCCCTGACGCTCACCTTCATGACACCCAACCAGTGTGCTGTGCACACTGCTCCTGGTCAGAGAAGTAGCTGGTCAGGGAGCAGGGCTGGCTTTTAAAGATGGCCTCCAGATGCAGGCAGGTGAGGCCGTAAACTCCAGCTC